CCACCCCATGCAACCTTCCTATCGGGTATTGGTGTCTGTGGGACGCACCCGGCGGCTTTTCTCGCATCTGGGAGAGAGGCGATGGTCTGTAATTACATCCCTTGCTCAATAAAGATCAGAGCATCTTGGAGCTGGTGTTACATAAGGACAGACCTGCCTCGCTTGGCTTCGCAGGGCTGGGTCTCTGTGTCTTCCTCCATCCTTTACACCACAGGACTGGTTGGCAGGCCAGGGGTATTTTATTGATGGATTGATTTTTTTGGTGGTGGTGGTGATGGTGGTGTAGAGAGGAGAGATGTCCCCCCCCCACCTTTTCTCTTTTCTGTCCTTGTTTTGGTTTGCTGCATTGAATGGAAATTTTAGTGGCCGACCTGACGAAGCCATCTCGTCAGAGACTAGGCGTCGGGTGGGATGTGTTGTTGTCCCACTGGAGGGAGGGCCCGTTCTGCTGGGATTCATGGTTTGGAGGGTTGTCTTGAGGGCCTTGCTTTCTCGTACCCACTTGGGTCGGCCGAATGGGTCTTGTGGTGTGAAATGCAACAGCCGATTGAAACCACTGGGATCCTGAGTTTGCAAATAAGCTGGACCAGTCGAAAGGCGGGTCCACCCTAAACTATTTTGGATTTTGCTTCTTGTTCTGATAAAATAAGAAAGAGCCCTCTGATGCTTCCCTTCCTCCCTCCGACCTGGATCATGCATCTCTATGTGTGTTAAACAATTTCGACCGATGATCTCTATGTAGGTAAATTTCTGTTTGAAGTCCTGCACAACTTGGTGGGAGCTGCTTCCATGCTGAGGACTGGGCTGTCTTAGGGTTGCTACAGATTGTTGTCCTGACTTAAGGCTGCCACCTTTTCCTTGGCCCCACTCCTGTGCTTCCCTCCCCAACCAGTAGTTGTAGCAGGCTGTGTTTTTTCCCCCTGGCATGGAATTAAAAGGCCCAGCAAAGCATCACCTTGTATATTCTTGCAGAAGTCTGTCAAAAGCACAGAAGCAGGGTGGGCTTAAAATGTTGGGAACCTTATCAGGGTAATGACCCTCCTATAAAACTGGGATAGTTCAGATCAGCAACTACAAAGCTATGCATGCATCGGATTTCAGTAGGATGCTTTTTGGTCCTATTTGAAAATGTATGTTTTTTTTTTCCTAGTGGGGAAGGGAGAATGCTATTCTGAAGATGCCTTCACTCAAGCTTGTCTAATGTTTCTTGAGAAGATGAGGTCCATTGCATTCTGGAATTAAGGGAGCCTCTGTTTATCATCAAGTCTGGCTTGGTTGGTTTGGGGGGGGTGAAGGTTCAACCTTGCCAGGAACTCTCATGCTGTGCCCTTCATATTATTTAGTTAGTTATGTGCCATCTAGTCAGAACTGACTTATAGCGACTCAAATAGGGCTTTCTAGGTAAGTGAGATATTTAAGGAATGGCGTTACCAGTTACGCATCCCCAGTGAATTTCTGTGGCCAGATGGGGATTTAAATGTCCAGTATCCTAGTTCATCACTCTATTCACTACACTACGTTGGGTGCCTCCATATACCACCCTCTAATTCTGTGACTGTGGGTGCAAGTCAGATATTTGTGGCAGCCTCAACAAATAGAGTTGTCAACTTTTTGCCAACTGCTCCTCCTATGCTTTTTCCAAAAAACTGGATTTACAGACTCTGGCAGGCAAAGCAGTATCTCTGTCATTAGGATGAGCCTTGGCCAGCTGCAAAAGGAGGAAGATCGGGCTTAGATGAGAGTTTCTTCTATCAGTTGGCAACCTATTGTTTATAAAAGGAAACTCTGTGTTTGCCACAGGTTCTATCCTCTTGTGGTTGTATTTTCCACCTGAGCTCTGGAATAAGGATGGGATAAGGGAATTCTTCACATGAGCTGTGTGCTAGCTAATGATACTTGATGAATTAGAACAGTGGTTCTTAACTTTTGTTACTTGGATGTTTTTGAACTGCAACTCCCAGAAACCCCAGCCAGCACAGTTGGTGGTGAAGGCTTCTGGGAGTTGCAGTCCAAAACTCCTGAGTAACCCAAGGTTAAGAACCAGTGAATTAGAAGACCCTGCAGTGGCTAATGCAATGTCCCATCAAGCTAGTTTAGCTGCATTTCCACCAAGAATCAGACAATCAAGCCATGATGGGTAGCTATAGTCTTCAAAGTTTCCATTCTAAATTTGGTGTCACCCCCTGGCTATGTCATCACCTCTGCCTTGTAATTTCATATCCCTAAGTTCAGATACAGTTGTGGTTTTTTTTTCAGTGCGACAAGAGTCTCTTTGGATAGGATCAAGATAAGTCTTAACTTGTTCATGTCTATTTCCACACCTGGCATTAAAAGGCAAATCAAGACGTAAGTTCAGTTGCAAATTTATCAGACTGCATATGGTTTTTTTTTTACTCTGCTTACATCTGGAGTTATGCAGATATGAGCCTTCTCTTTTCACAAAACTCTTCCTCTCTTATTTAGGTTGAGAAATCAAAATTAACCTGATGCAATGCTTTAGGTATGATTTCTGGTAACCTATCTTCCCAAAAATTGGGTTCTCAGATATTATGGAACTATAACTCCCAATCTCTGCAGTGATGTGTGTATGACAGAGAGAGAGAGAGAGAAAGAAAGAATGTGATCATTTGCAGGGTTCAATATTTCACTGTTTGAAAAAAAAAACACACAACAAACTTGCCTGTATAAAGTCTTTTATTCCTCGTGCTTCTGTCAGGGCAGGGCAGCAAAATCCTATACTGACTGAACTCAGAAAGACAACCCTTTTGTAGAAAACATAGAGGATTTTTCCCCATTTCAAAGCTTGAGAGAGATCTTGTGTGCCATAAAGAAATAGCAGAAAATAGAAAGAGGTTGAGGAAAGGGACAAAGCCAGAATTAGATGCTTCTACCAACGATTGACTTTGCCTTCCATTGTTCAGCCTGCTCTGTTAACAGTGGCAGAGATTAGAGCGTGAAGCTCCCAGGACTTTTGAATATGGGGCTAATGGGCAAAGACATCATCTACCACCCCATTCCACCTTCCCTATTCCCTTGGACCAATTCTCACAGTACCTAGGAGAGGAAAAGATTTTCCCGAGAGCAGTATACTGTTGCAAAATATCCCTGTTATATTGCAAAGTATTCAAGAGTGGCTTGGTTTTGAATTGGCATTTCAGAGCTGTTGCTTTTACAAAAGACCTGCACCTTCATTGTTGTAACAAACCTATGCGATGGCTTGCAGGTCTGGACTCTTCTTATAAAGTTGTGATGGGGGCTGTTGCATCGAGCGCTTATACTTCCAGACGGAGGACTGCACCATGGTCTATTAGTCAACTGCTGTCATTTACTTTGTAGAAGGTCCAAAGAATCCACCAGAGTCAGGAGGTGTACCTGGGCTTTTATCTTTATTTACTGTCCTACTCCAGGATTGAAGGGACAGTGTCTAAATCAGCAAGGTTTAGGGGAGATCAGTGCTGTGGATCAGATTTTGAAGCAATGGATTTTTCAGACGACTGAGGAAGGGTTAGCAACTGGGAAGCCGTTTGTCATTGTTTCTCTTCTGCAGACTTAGGCTTCATTCTAGGCCCACCAGCAGCAGGACAGGAACGGGAGCCTGTAACCCTTGAGATGTGACTGAACTCTAGCTCCCATCAGACCTGAATACAGTGGACCCTCGACTTACAGACGGCTCGACTTACAGACTTTTCGAGTTACAGACTTCTCTGGCTGCAAAATTTAGATTCGATTTGCAGCCAGAGAATCGACTTACAGACCAGAAAAAAACCAAAATGGAATAAAAATAGAATAAAAACCGCTGGTTATGGGATTAATCGGTTTTCAGTGCATTGTAGGTCAATGGAGATTCGACTTACAGACTTTTCGACTTGCAGCCATCATTCCAATACGGATTAATTCCTTAAGTAGAGGGTCCACTGTATTGATTATTGCTTCTTTGTTTTAAGCCTGGTGAGAATTAGTCCAGTACCATTCAGCAAGCCACAGATTCCTCCCTTCCTGCAGTAGTGTGCAAGAAACAGCCCACCGTTTTCCCTAGCTCAGTGCCCACCCAATATTTTGCACTACAGGTCCCCTCATCCCCAGCATCATCAGTGCTGGCTAGGGATTTTAGGAATTGTGGCCCTAAAATATCAAGAGAACACAAGAGGTGTTTGTGCTGAAGGTGTTGCAGGAAAGGTGAATTTGGGCTTGTGATCAGGATATGGGATCTTGGAGGTCAAGATTCTAGTTCTCACTGAGCAAAGTGGGTGATCTTGGATCAGTCAGCATGGGATCACTCAGGCATATCGCTTTCATTTTGGACCACTTGTGGAATGGTTCGGCACAAGCTATTTCCCTGTGATCACATGATATTCAAGGAACGGCACTCCATTCCACAGCCCGATCCGTGCCCCAGGCTGGACTTTTTCGCCTCTAATTAATGAGGTTCTGACGGCATTCCTGGCCCTGTGTAGCTGCTCAGGCACGTGCCCAGGAGTGCAACCAGCACCTCATTAATTAGCAACGATTTGCTACCGGGGCTCATACAGTGTTACTGACGCGAGGGTAAAATAACGGTTGGACTCCTGCCAGTCTTTCTCAGGTCACTTC